AGGATGAGGAAGGAGGAGGACGAGCAGGAGGAGCAGCAGCAGCAGCAGCAGCAGCAGGAGCTGGAGCGGGGGAGGCGGGAGGAGCAGGATCGGGGATCGGGGACCAGGCCGAGGCGCAACATCCGAATCGGATGAGGGCAGGATTCCCGACGCAACGGCCCCGCGCCCCTCGTGCAGGCCGAGGACCCCCCGCAGCCTGGTGGCAATCTGGCCACGGCCCAGACGCAGCCGACCGCCCGCGCGCCGCCGGCGGACCTCGCGACCGGGCAGGACCGCCTCGATGCGCCCGTGCTGCTCCGAGGCTGCGGCAGCCTGCCCTCGGCAGTCTGAGAGCAGACCTCGCCAGACTGGCGCTTCAGTGGAGGCACGAGCGCCACAACGCCTGCACGCAAGAAGCTGTTCCGCTGCCTGGACGGAGTGGCCGCGGAACTCGGAGGCTGCTAGCGCCTGCACCTGCAGGCCGTCCTGTGTAAAGCCAAGCTCTTGAACGGCGAGCGTGACTGCGGCACATCGCGCCCTGCGAATCAATCGGGGGCGCGGAAACACGGATTAGCGATCCATGGATTTGGCGCGCGGTCGCCAAATCCATGGATCGGGGGAAGTGGCCTCCCCAAAATGCGGCCGGTGCCGCCTCGCTCGGCGCGCGATTTCCCATGGAAGCGGGACCCGTCGCTAATCCACGACCCCTTGATCCATGTTTGCGACCGCCCGAGGGGAGGAGGCCATTGTGCCCTGCAGCCCGCACGGCCGTCAGATGCAGATGCAGCGGCGCGGGTTCCCGCCGCCGGCCAGTCTGCTCGAGCCTCGCCCTCGACGTCCCGCGGAGTTCGCGCCGAGCAGTGGCACCACGCGCGCATCATCCCCCCGCTCGCCGCCGCCTCCAGGTCACGAGCAAGCAGGGGCATCGCTGGCCCGAGCATGGGGCTCCGCCGGGGCTCCGCGGGCCGCGGTGTCGGTCCGGCCTGGCCTGCCACGCGCTGGGCCACCCTCGGCGGGGGATCGAGAAAGTCGGCTTCGCGTCCTGGAGCAGAGCTCGGAGCGCCCTCGCCGCCGTCGCCGACGCTGCATTTCAATATGGATCGAGATGACAATCTAGCATGAAGAATCTCTGCAAAAACCGAACAAGTTGATGAAACTACCTACTCATCGGGCCGTGTGGCTAGGCTGTCAATTTCGCCGGCCAAACGCACTCTAACACGCTTTCTTCTTGCGTACAATTGCTGAGGGGCCCCACACCTTGGCGAAGCAGCCCGCCCAAGCGCCGCCCAAGCTGCAGAGCTCGTGCCATCTGCCTGCACGCTTGGCCCCTCGGCCAGGCCGGCCGCCCGGCTCTGGGCCTCCCGCGCCGCAGGCAAGCAGGTCGCCGATGACCTCAACCCCTGAAGGGGCCCTGGGACACACAAATAAATACACACAAAGAACAGGGTCCCCCATATTTTCTCATTTTTCCCGGGTTTCTGCATTCCCCCCCACTTCCCATGTTTTCGCATATTTTCTGGGGAATCGACGATTAACAGTGTCTGTGTGTTTTTTTCCCTCCTGAAAAACGCTCAGCCCTGGGAACCGTTTGGGCGGCGCCCGCCAAGGGGCGCGCGCACCCGGCCCGCGCGGGCCACCCTCCGGGGGGAAGTTCTACCGCGGACCACCCGCAGCGAGTGGCCTCGGGCAGGCCATTGGCCATGCCAGAACCATCGGTAAAAACCCCGCGGCCCCAGGGCATATGCCCCGGCCCCCCAACTGGGGGGGTCGTAACTGGCCGGGACAAGGGTGATCTGGATAGGGAGGAGGGGGTCCTCGTAAGCCAACTCAAGAGTGTCGAAGTCGGGAGTGATACCTTTCGCCTCATCCCGCAGCCACCTCGCACGCTCTCCAATGCCATCTGGGAACGGAGACGCCTCGTCGAGGTCGTCGCTCGGCTCCCAGACCCGCCTGCATTCGTGCCACTGATGCCCGAAAGCACCTTCGGCTCCGCATCCGAATTCACACTTCGGGCTTAGGATTGCAAAAAAAAACCAAGGATTGCAAACAAAACTGGTTTTGCAAAAAAAAAAAAAAACATGTTTTTTGTGCAATCCTGTTTTTTTTTGTTTTGCAATTTTTGTTTTGGAATCCTGTTTTTTTTGCAATCCTTGGTGTTTTTGCAATCCTTCGAATCGGCCCGCATCGAAACTCGCGCGCCGGAGGCCAGAGCTTCCCGCCAAGGAGCCCGCGAAGGGCACCCTGCCCGGCGGAGTCCTCGACCGACAAGAAAACTCCCAGCCTGAGAGCCCCGCCCCCGACCTCTTCCGCACCACTGGCCTCGGGGACGGTCTCCAGGATCTGCAGGAGCAGAGCGTTGCTGACACCTTCGCACGACCTCGCCTTGATATCCCAGGTGGAAAACAGCGAAATCGTATCACCTTCATCGGTGCGAACTTGATGGTAAGACACGAGCGACCACCCTACCCTGAGCAACGACAGCACGACGGCTCCCACGGGACCGTGGCCGAGATTCCAATGCGTCCTGTCTGCAAGCCAGTCGTTGGCAACATTCCAGGCTGCTCTCAACTTTGAGTCGGGAGAACTGATGTCCCAGACCCAGCAGCAATATCTGAACACAAAGGGGGTGGTCGCGTCTAACGCGGGGTCAAAGCTGGGATCCTGATGCGCGAACACGAAAGGCGCAACGTGCGCCACTCCCCCAGCCCACGCAAGGCTCCCAGCTGAGGCCCTCAGAATTCTAAGAATCTCGTTACTTATCCCTGACACAGAAGCCCCGTGTCCTCCGCTCGGCATCAGACCAGCGCGCCACAAGCCGGCCGCCTTGACCCCCGCTGTGTGACGAATCAGCTGGATCCGACCATTCCGTCTGATCAGCGCAACTCGCCTCCTGGCTTCAAGCTTCCGGAGCAGCCGCTTTCCAAAGAGATCGTGGCCGAGATGTCTCATGTGAGAATGTCTACGCATGCCTAGAAGCCTCGACGAGCTCGACACTTGCTTCGCTGCCGCTACGCTGGTGGCCACACATCCCGACTTGTTCGGTTGCGCCATGAGCCCAAACGGACGTACCAGTATACAAAACTCACGTGCCGCAGCAAATACATTCGCGCCCTGAATGGCGTCGGGACCTACCCATT